TATGAAATTATAAAATTAGCATTTTTTGACACAATCACCTGGCTGTAAATATTGCAACAAATAAAATAGCTGAGAATATGAAAATTGCGGTTAGCGCGGTTTTTTATATTTCTATTGGTTCGAAAATTCTTTTTATGATTCGGTGGAATTTGTATCAAAGAATCTGTCTACAATTCAAATCGTATTGCATGTAACAATGAATAAACGCACTGTATATTCTAAAATACAAAACCGCTTTCTGCTGTTAATTTGTAATTTTGGAAATGGAGCTCATACCTGCTCTATGGTGTATCGCAAAAGAGGTTGAACACGTAAAATTAAAAAATTTCAGATATTTAGTTTTGTTACGTGACTATCAAAATGTATTATCCATAAGTTGGAAGTTATATTACTTTCAAATCTGATGAATCAATTAAAATAACCACATATAATAAACATAAAAAATTACACGTATTTTTAACCATAATAATAATGAAGTGTTGTATCGTAAGACCTTCACTGCACTCAATTATACAACAGAGATGCACATCTTGAAAACTTCAATCTTAATTCATTCTGCAATGAGGAAGAGAGTTGCAAAACTGTTTTAGTTTTGCAGTAGCCTGATTTCGTTATTTCCAACGTCAAAATGGAGAAAGCTTGCCAAAAATACTTCACAATGTCTTCAGTAAACCTAAATATTCGTCTAGAATATCAACGCAAAATGAATATTTTAATTTGAATTCTCATCGACTGAGATTAAATGTAATTAAAAGCAGTACCTTAGAATTTCTTTACTTAAAGATAATATTATCTTTTTCTTCCAAAAAATTGTGTATTATCTTCCAAAACAATGTATTCTAATAAACATGTAACGGCGCTGTTCTTTGGGGATCACATTTTCTATATGAAAAATGCAAAGGAGGATTTAAAATTCAACTGCACATCAGGAATGCAGTAGGAAATATAAGCCCTTGTATCAAACTGCGAATGTGTAAATATTTCGCTAGAGCTTTAAAAGTAATGAGCTGCAAAGGTTTATGTAACTATACAAAAGTTAGGCTGCAAATGAATTATGTTTTTAAGAAAATTCCCTAGAAGTTCACAATAAATCTTTAACGCCTTAAATTACGGGAGGGCTCAAAATTATATAAAATAAAGTAATTAATAACATTTAGTAAACAAATAAATGCAAAATTTTACTTTTTAAACACTTTTTCTAATTTTTTAAAAGTCTTGTCTAGTTTTGCCTCCTATTTTACTTAAACGATGGATCAACACCTGGCAAACGTTGCTTTTATTTTGAATTTTTGTTATGAAATTTAACAGAAGAGAGCAGGAAATATGATGATACATATACTGATTTCAAACTTTTTGTTCCTTTCATTTTGTATTTTTTCCCTGAAATTTTAGAAAACAGTATAAGAAATCTACATGAAGTTATTTCAAAATACAAAGAACATTTCTCTAAATTTTTTCCAATCGAAGTTTCAGCTTTGCTTAATTTTACGTTTATTGCTTTGTGTTTAGTTATATCTTCAAATCTTTGTTTGTTTAGTAACCAGTGCTCCATTTATTACCTGACCATCAAATAAATATTATTTAATTTCCTTCGTTATAAAAATTTATCTGTAAGTTTTGGGCTAACTTATGTTTTCAGATACTGAAACTGTTGAAAATTTCATCAAGATGATATTATACTGCTGCGTGTTACGGTTTCGTGCAGTTTCTTCTTAAATAACAATAGCAATAATGAAATATTGATATCTTTATTAAATAATAATGGAATATTATTGAGATAAATAACAGCTCTTACATTCAAAGCAAACCACTGTAAATAACCCCTTCCTTAACAAGCGTGGAATGTCACTGATAGCTAAAATCACTTGCGGAGCAGGAAGCTGAAGTTGCCAAGCGATATACTCTATAGTAAAATATTGCAGATTCTAAACTGAATTTACAGTTCTGAGTTAACTAGCAGCAGGCTCCAACGCAGCTTTGTATTTATAGCTTTCTTAAAGGTGAAGCAAAAGCACATCCGAAACCTTTGGAAAAATCATTCTTAGGCTTCGAAACGCAGTTTTGAATATAACAGTCTATGCAAAATTGGAGTAAAAGCACCACCTATCACCAGGTTGGTAATAAAATTGGTCACCAAGGCCCAGAAGAAGCCAGTTTGTCCGTATCTCCGTTTTTGTCCTTATATCAATAACGTTGATCAACTTAAAAACCTTCAACATAATGCCTTAAATAAGCACAGACAAAGTCAATACCTTGATGTCACATTTAATAAAATATGCAATAAGCGAACATGAAGCTAACACACAAAATACACCGAATAAAACACAAATATTAAATAAAAGCCTAAAAGGCAATTGTGCAACAATATTATAATAATTTGCAAAGTTCAAATGAAATAACTACAAGTATTTGCATAATTCTTAGCAGTACATCATCTTCCTTTTTGTAAGGAACTGAAAAGTATACAGTCTTTTCCTTATCACTACATTTCGCATTTATGTGCGAAATAGTTATTTTAGCAAATATAATCTAGACAGATTAACGTCAACACTGAAAACCTCTGCATGAAACGTTTGCCATTTGGTTGGAGTGGAAATGAAAAAATATTAATTTAAAAAATTAAAATATCAAAATATAATGTTCAGTTAAATATCCGAAACTATTTTGAAACAAAGAACTTCAATAAGCTTTTTATTTTAAAAACTGCGTCTCAAAAACTGCAAATATAAACTATAGATTTAAAACAGGATAAAACAAATAGCAATTCCAACGATAGGAAAATATGCTATAAGATTATTCCATAATAAGTTAACATCACGTGAAATTTCTTGTTGTTATTTAGTAAAGAAACTACTCATTTAATGGAAGCTACAAGCACGAGACAGCCAAATGGCAATAAAAGTTTCCCCACATTATATTTGCCAGGATACGATTTTGTGTCATGACAACAGAACTTGCTTTTAAGAATACAAAATTTTAAAAATATAAAATGAAAAAAGAATCTGAAAGGTTTCAGCATTTAAATTACGTCCAAAGGGGCGGTTTTTTTTTACATTTTGTGTGTTACCTTTATTTATTAAATATCATGTTCTTCGCACTAATCATAATTCAGTTCAAGGCAATATTGCAAAAATATTAAATGAGCATATCTTTAGAATTTCCGATACCGTCTCGCGCAGTGGAGATAAAATGTTTTTTTCTGTACAACTTTGCCATTACTCGTTTTGAATCCTTGATTTGCTAATCAAAAATTCGTTTAAGTTTTACAAAATATGAAATTGATAATAAAACAAATTCGAACTTTCAAATTTTGGCTTCCAGATGCCCAAATTCGCAGGAGGATTACGTTACTTAAAATTTGATGGCTCTAGCTGCCGTTGTTTTATCATAATGCGAGAAATAAGCGTACATTTATGCAGATTCTTTATTTAATTTCTTTTATTATAATACAGGGTTATAATATTTGGTGACAACAATTTCAAGAATGAAACAACTCTTGTACTGAATCAACGCAAAATGCCAAAACGAAATTAATAGTCCTTCTGGGCAAATTGCCCCTATGGACAAAAAAAATGTATATAAATACATATACACTGTAAATTATTTGGGATTCTGTATAACCCGATAACGTTAGTTTGAATATTAAGCTGAGCATTCTTTAGGGGTCATCAGTATTTTTTTTATTACTGTTATTATTGAGAAAAAAAAGTAAGCCTTGTTCCTTGATTTGATCTTTATAAAACCAAGAACTTAAGACCAAACTTATTAAGTTGTACGTAGTTCCATATTGCAAATGAATGGCAATTTTTATCTTCTTTTCTTCATTATTCCAATATTTTGTGTACGAATAATGAAAGGAAACAAGAAAAATGCGCCTTTCATAACATTAAAAGTATTTCATAACATTAAAAGCAAAATCTGTATTCTCCGTTTAACGAAATACAAATGTAAAGATACACTTAATATTTATTAAAGAAATAGAAATGGATTTTAGCAAATAAAGGAATAATTTAAATATTGAAATTTAAAAATTCTGTGTAATTTTATACTATATCCTAAGTCTGACAACTGTCAGCTAGGTTCCATGTGTAGACCGTTAGGCGATTCATCAGTTGGTCAGATATAACAACAACAACAAACTCTTATAACCGCTCCTGCTACTGAAAGCAACTGCGGTGTTTTGTAACTATTCTAATTGTTACAAAACGATTGTTAAGTGTAACGATTGGAATCCACGTTTCTAACCACTAACCACTCCGTTATCTCACTCGGTTAGGCAGGAGGAGACAGGTGCTAACTACCAAAGTGGGCAAAAGCCAATAGGCTAAAACTGGGCAGAGCACGTCAACTAAGCAAAAGAGCTTAAAAAAAAAAAAAAAAAAAAAAAAAAAAGCAGCCAAGCGGCTAATAGAGCAGGGGTGCCTTTCGGCTAAAAGGAAAGAAACAAAAAGCCAAAAATTAGTCTAAGAAGGGGAGAGCTATTACGGCTAAAAAAAAAAGAAGGGGAACAGGCGAAATGAAGCAAAGCCTATCGACTAAAAGGGGCTGAGAGGAAAGGCTAAACTTAGAGAAAGCTTTGTAAACTTAAAACAAAAAAAGGGGGAAGTCATGACGGCTAAAACAGGAAGTGAAGGGACAGCCAGTAAAGTTACAATGCTAGCGTAATTATAGGAAAAAAAAACTTTTTACATAAATGAACAATTAATTAAAGCAGAGTAAAATTTAAAATAAACATATATACAAACAAAATAATAATCATAACAGAAAATAATAAGCATAATCATAACAAATAAATAATAATAATAACAAAAATAAATAATAAATAACAATAATAACAAAATAATAGAAAAATTCAAAGAAACTTATAAACAGATATACAATTTCCTGCAGGTGTATACACTACACCACTACAGTAAACACTACAGTGACTAAATAAATGAGCATTACATTGAAGTGAATGGAAGAAAAATAACAATCAGAATGACATAAACATTGTAGGATTAACGATAAACAATAAAGTCTGAGTCATTTGCATGTATAAGTTGCATAATTGACTTCATGGCATTAAGAGTAGAATTGCATTTTGCCAAAATTTCCAGTGAAGGCAATGGCGATGGAAAAAGAGTTGTTCTTTCTTTTGCTGTTATTGGACAAGACGTGATGTAATGGAGAGCTCCTGCAAGCTCTCCACTTGTCCCGCAGCCACATCTTGTGTTCTTTTTATGAAATCTTTGCATATATTGCGGAAATTTACCATGATTTGTCAAGACTTGATTTAAAATGTGATCTGAATGTATACGAGAGAGAGAAATTTGTGGAAAAAAGGCATAAGTCGAACGTCCTGTAGAGTCCTCATCCCATCTTTGCTGCCATGTTTTAAGCGATTCTTGCAGGATTTGATGTTTCGCCGAAATCTCTGAAAGTGGCACTTCAACATCTATCTGATCTTGTTGTGTTGCTCTTTTTGCTTTGGAATCTGCTCTTTCGTTCCCTGCGATTCCAATGTGAGCTTTAATCCAATTAAGCTCTAGAGAATGGGAATCTAAAAGAGTTTTTATGATTTCCTTTAAGCTAAGAATGCTTCTTTTCGTAATTTTATCACTATTTAAACTTTGAAGGGAACTACGACTATCTGTAAAAATACGAATAGGAATGTTGTCAGTTATTGTGGAACCTATCCAGATGAGTGCCTTTTTTAAAGCAAGAACCTCTGCTTGGAACACGGAAGCCGTATCATTTAATCTATAAATTTCTGAATGAACTTCGTGCCCATTGTTGTACATAACGAAAGCCGCACCTACATGTTTACCAATCTTAGATCCATCTGTAAAGATTTCGATATTTTTCTGTGTTGGAGTATTTTTATACCAGGGAAGTATGTCTTGATGAGCAGGGTGCGTGTGGAAGTGCGGGACTCTTTCTTCTAAGGTATTGTACCATATAACAAGATTGCTTATTTCCAAGTTTTCCTTATAATGAATTAGTCTAAAGAATTTTCTCTCCATCTCAGCTTTTATGTCTAAAGGCATAAGGCCCGAGAGAACTTGCAGAGCTGATGTGGGAGATGTTGAATAACACTTGGTAATACATAAAAGAACTGACCTTTGTATTTGTGAAAGTTTTTGCTTTTGGCGTACGGTTCCCGTGAACCACACGGGACACCCATAAAGTATAATCGCTCGATAGCTCTGAGATAAAGTATTTTAAGTAATTTTCCTTTCTTGCTCCAGTTTTGAGAAATGATCCGATTTAGTTTATGAATTAAATTTTGTGTTTTCTCCTTTAAATGTACTAAGTGTGGAATCCATGTGAGTTTCTGATCAAGAATAAAACCCAAATATTTTAATGTAAAACTTCTTGAGATGGTAATGTGTTGTCCCACTTAATACGTGGAGGCGATCTATGTAATTTAGTGCCTTTAGGAAACAAAATTAATTTGGTTTTATCAATACTAAATTTAAGGTGATATTTATTGCTCCAGTGCTTAAGTTTTTCTAAAGCTCTATGAGCCTTTTCTTCAATTCGCAGTCTGTTGCTACCAGAAATGATGACTAAGAAATCATCAGCATATGCTTGAATTTTTACGCCTGTGTCAAATTCTAAATTTAAAGCTGTATCAGCCAAAATATTCCATAAAGTGGGCCCTAGGTTGGAACCTTGAGGTGCCCTTTCTGATAAGAATGTGAGATATTGACTCCATCTCTTTTATATTGTATTTTTCGGTTACTCAAATAACTTCGAACTATGCGAAAAAGATTTCTTGGACATTTGACTTCATTTAACCTTGATAGCAATCCAGGCCACCAAAGGTTATTGAACGCTGATGCAACGTCTAAAGAAATAACACAAGTATGAAGATTGTTTATTCTATTGTTATGAATTTCATTAACTAGGTTATTTACTGCATCAATTGTGCTACGACCCGTTGTGAAACCATATTGTTGGCTATTGAGTATTTTCTTTGCAATCAAAAAATGAGTTAGTCGTCGTGCAATAAGCTTATCTAAAATCTTCCCCAAGCCGATAAAGGCAAATGGGTCTGTAGGCATTGGGATTTGTAACATCTTTCCCTTCTTTTTGAAAAAGGACTAAATTAGCAATTTTCCATTCTTCTGGAAAGTAACCAGTTTGCTAAACATCTGTTCATAATTCGAGTCATTAGATTTGGATTAGCAATAAAGACTTCTTCTACGATATCTATGGAAAGTTCATCGTCCCCCGGCGCTTTTCCTCTTTTTGTAGATTTTATGATATTTTTTATTTTTATTTCTTGGGTAGTTATTGGGAGATCATCATCTGTGTCTGGAGTTATCATAGAACGATTTCTTATCTCTTCTGTGTTCTTCCTTATCATCGTCAATGTTGTCCTGAGGGAAGTGAACACAAATGATATAGCGTAGAGTATCTTCAACTGTGTTTGTCCAACTACCATCTGTCCTTTTAATTTTACAGAGTTTAAGGGCTTTATATCCTTTTCCTTTAACTATATCGTAGTAAGTATTAAAGGGAGATTTCAGTTTTAAATTCTCCCAATAATTCTCCCAAGCCTGTAATTTGGCATTATATATATTTCTTTTATAAGCCGCCGCTGCTTTATTGTAGATTTGACGTTTATCTTTCCTATCTTGATTCCTTGCATTTTGATAGTTTTTTGCGCAATTTCTTTAGTTGTCTTCTTTCCTGTGTGAGAGCATGGCTCCACCAAGTTTTTGTAGTTTTGTGTGTTTTATTAGATGGTAAATGCCTTAAATGTTGTTTAAAAGAGCGTCTTTAATTTTTCTGAAATTTCTTTAATTGTAGAATTAATTTCTGCATCAGAATTCAAATTAAATTCTGAACAAGAAAGATCTGTTATCTCCTGCCTTAATGTAAGCCATTGAGAGTTTTCAATTCTCAGTTTGAGTTTTGGAGAAGAAGGCCTCATATCCATGTGAATTTCAAAATTAATTGCTTTATGGTCACTTAACGTGTCTCTCGGATCAACTTCCCAATTTTCTATTTTTAAACTTTGTAGCCCTTTGAGGAGAGTTAAGTCAATCCATGAATTTCCCAGAGGACCTACAAATGTCGGGTTGCTATTTTGTTCATTAATAACTGTGAGATTAGTTGTTGCTAGAAAGTCTCCCACTCGTGTTCCACGACGGTTTGTTGGTACTGGACCCCACATACTATGTTTTCGAATTAAAGTCCACCGCAGATAACTATTGGAAGATCACCTGCATCATTTATTATTCCTTCTAATGTAATTAATATTGGATCAATTTCTGTGCTTGGTGGACAGTAGACCGAGATTAATATAAAATTGGGCGACCCTTCTACTTTGATTACTGTTATTTCCTCCGTTGTGAAAATCTGAATGATTGAAAAAGAGCCCTCTTTCACAATTATTGCAGCTTTTGCTTGTATTTGGTGAGAATAGATCCTATATCTTTGTGGAAATCCACTTACCGCATTTTTAATAAGGTAAGGTTCTTGTATGCAAGCTATTTTTAAATTTGGAATATTTTCAATGTCAACTTTTAATTGTGCACTTGCACTCCGTGAGTGCTGTAAATTTAACTGTGTTATTTTTAACTATATCCATAATTAATCTTTTTAATTAACAGATCCATTTCTCTTTGCTTACTTGCACATTTTTTTACTTACACTACAATGATTGATATCCAAATTCAAATGATAATGCTTATTAGCACGTTTGCAGTTGACACATTTTTCTTGCGGAAAATTGCATTCTTTGTTAAGGTGTCCTCTTTTACCACATTTGAAACATCTTTGTTCTCTTGTACAAGATCTTTTTGTGTGACCAAATTCTAAACAATTTTTTGCATTGAATTACTCGGATATACTCACGAATGTTTTTTTTTTCCTTGTCCAACCAATATTAACCTTTGAGACTTGCAATTATCGACTTAAAAGCTGTGGGGTCAAGTGAGAGAACCCAATTATATCCATGCTGACCTTTCATTTTGAATTTAATTTCCATGGTCGCATCACGTAGCTCATGATTCTGTGTTTTTAGAAGTTGTAGCAATTTTCTCTTCCTTAAAACCTTCCTCTACATTGTAGATTATGATTTTAGGATTAATTTTTGTCGGTTGTTTTGGTTCAACCAAGTCCTTTAATTTTGCATTTTCCTTAATTGCATCCTCCAGAATTTTAAGTTCTTCCTCTTTATTGGTTTGAATTAGAATGCCTCCTTTGCGAATTTTCCTGACACTTTTAACTCCTATTTTGAGTTTTGCAGGACTTATATATTTTTCAACTTTTTCTTTTGTATTCTCTGATGTTGATCCATCCTCTTTTGGGTAAACCAGCAGGATATGTTCGCTCTGACCTTTATGTCTAGATTTTGATCGACTTCCTTAGTGCACTGTCTTTGCATATGTCTCTCGAATAATTCCATTGCTTTTTACCTCCGCTAAACCTTGCAAATAGTTTTCTATGTTTTGTGATTGTTCCAACTGTCCTTGGAGTTGCGCTATCACTGCATTTTGTTTTGTTACAATTTTGAAAATATCCAAGAAATAAGATCTTAGTGTCTTAGAGAGTTTCTTTGAAATATTCTCTCGAGAAAGGATACCCTCTAAATTTTCTAAGCATTCAAATGCAGAATCAGTAAATTCACTGGAACAAGAGTCTTTGGAAGTAAAATTAGCAGGATTACAATCTTGTCCATTTGAAACTTTAACGCTAACGTCCTTCAGCAGTACTATCTGTTATAACTGGATCTGATATATCTCCATGTGTATTACTAAAAATGTGATTTTGAATGTGCTGAAATAGATCTTCTGCATGTGGAGTTAGAAATAAGACCTACCGCTATCCACACCTGGTGGCTTATGGTTCTGTTTTTTTTCCGTAGCTGCCATAGTTAAATAATAACTCTTATTAATCCTACTTTAAACCATTACAAGATATATTCAAACTAAAAAAAGGATGAAATATGAAAGTTACACTAAAGGTAAAACGATATAAAAAGTTTTACAGGGAAAGAAAGCTATGAAGTATAAACTAAGATCTAATGATAATATATTTTTTTTTAGTAAGTGGAGTTGAGATCCTTTTTCAAAAATTATTATTATTAATAAATTATAATGGAAGAAAACTAAGTATAAAGTATTTATTTCCTATAAAATTATTTTTTTTTGCATGCGCTGTATTCTTACGAGAGTAACTATTCAGCAATATCTGGCAATCAAATTTTAAAATAAATAGAATTTAAAATTTTATTTTAGGAAATATCTATCACAAATTAAAGTATTTCCCAATAAAATTTATTCATATGAAAGAGAAAAGATTTAGCTATTTGAAGATAGAACAATTACTACTTGACCAGTACAATTTTCATCAATAAATTTTAAATTTAAAAGTTCAAAGGTGGTTTATATGTAATAAAGTATCAAATCTGAGAGTATGGTTTTTCGCAAATTTAAAAATAATAACTCAAGCAAAAACTGGAATATATTGAATATCCTTTACAGCAGCAAAATGTTTTTTATATAGAAACTACAGACAATAAAATATAAACTATACAACCTTGCAAATTAATCATAAATTATATATTTGGGGGCTTAAATTCAAATTAAAGAATTATATTATCGTTTACGAGTTGTTAAATGCGAGACATTGCGAAAAATATTCAATATGCAGACTCAAACGATATTTTTTAAACACGTTGATTCAGACATCAAATTGTATGAAATGCATCCTCGTTAGGACTTTAGATTGATATTAAAGTTATCAATGTAGGCCAGTTTTGTACGCAGTCAGTACTTGTGAACAGTCATAGCACAAAAAACGGTCAGAAAAACAAATCATAAAATAAAACTGGTCATCATATAGGATAGTGATGTCATCATATCATGATAATATGATGTCAAATCATATCTTGATAATATCTTGGTCAGATATAAAACAAACTCTTTTATTTAAATTTTAACTTAATACAAATACACAACACGTATTTTAAAAACTCAATCACCGCTACTAAATCACTAAGTAAAATCTTAATTTAAGCTTTGGTTCGGGT